GAACGTCAGGACTTGGGCCTCTGTGTAGGGTGGGGGCTGAGGATACGGGGACCCCTCGCCCGGGAGGCCCCGTAGAGCAGGCCCAAAAGAGTTTAGGACAGGACACCCCACAGATACCGCCCCCTGGCGCTGCACGGGGGCCAGCAATATACTGCCTTCTGTTGATCCCCTGGCCCGCCCCCCCAGACCAGCCCCTCTCCTGCCCCACTGAAGGCCCAAAAGAGTTTAGGACAGGACACCCCACAGATACCGCCCCCTGGCGCTGCACGGGGGCCAGCAATATACTGCCTTCTGTTGATCCCCTGGCCCGCCCCCCAAGACCAGCACCTCTCGTGCTCCACTGAAGGAGGGGGGCTAGGAAGGGGGCAGTCTGTCAGGACATAGCACCTCCCACTGATCCCTACCCCATCCCTTCAGCCCGGCATCCCCCAACTAGCAGTGATGGCCCTAAGCTGGGACGGGCCCATCTCTGCCCCGTGCCCACAGCAGGGGCACTGAGTCAGACCCCCGTTGCCCTGCCCCCTGCTCGTCCCCCCAGGCTTAATGCTCCTGCCTCCACCCCAGAGGGCACGTACCCCATAGGTCACTACGCTCTGCCCCCAGCAGCTCACAACCCCCCCTCCCAGGCTCCCAGCCTGACTGCCGCTGGGCCCCACCCCCCTTCCCGGAGCCAGGGCAGAACCCAGGAGTCCTGGCTCCCAGCCCCTCCCGCCTCTAACCACTAGCCCTTACTCCCTTCCCAGAGCCAGGGCAGAACCCAGGAGTCCTGGCTCCCAGCCCCGCCCGCCAGAGCCAGGGCTGATGTTGACCCCGGAGAGAATTCAGGCATCTAGCTCACCCTTGTTGGCCACCTCCCAGGCCACCTCGAAGAGGATGGCGTTCTCCAGGTCAATCTCATCCTCCCAGTCCTCCAGCCCCTGCAGGGAGGTAGGAAAGCCAATGGGAGCAAAACACCCACTGTAGGGATGGCAGGTAAACTCAGATCAAGGAACACTGACTCTAGCTATGAAATTAACATAGCTGGAGTCGAGTATCTTGATTTGATCTTCCCCTTTAGCATAGACTTGGCCTTAGAGAACAAGGAAAAAAGGGAGAAAGCTTTTAAGCTGTTATAGTAAATCAAACAGGATGTTCCCTGTTTCCTGACACCTCTATTATTCTCCTGTAGAGCCCTATTTTTGATCAGTGCAGCTCTGCATGAGTACAGTTTCCTGGCCATCGGCAATGTTTCCTCTAATCTTTTTCATCCATGTGTGGAATAAATTTTATGTGCACTGTGACATGTGCAAATGTGCACTACCAGTAGAAACAAAACAGCTCAGCTGTGGACGCTCTGCTAATCAGCTGCACAGCACCTAGTGCAATAGCCGGGATTGTCTGGCAGTGTTTCCTGTAAGCTGGGCACTTGTGCAGTTGCCCAGAAGAAATTCAGATGCCACCCAGCTAATTAGCAGAGTGCCCACAGCTAGGTTTTCTGTTTCTATTGGTGGTGCACATTTGCACATGCCTTGGTGCACATAAAAATTATTCCACACATGGATGGGGAAAAAATCCATCTGTGGATGGAAAAAAGTGGGAACATTGTCTCTTAGTGCCACTTGAATACAAATAATAATGTGATGCTTAGTGAGAATGTGACTGGCCAGGGCTGAGCAGTACAGCCTGGATCTCCTGATTCCCAGCTTAGCATCTTAATCACAAATGTAACCTTCCACTCAGCAAGCTATCTGATTAGAAGGACAGTCGAGGGTCTTCTTGCATATCATTAAGCCTCAGATGAGGCTGGCTCTTCTTTTATCCCTGCCTGTTCACACAATCCAATTAAAACCCAAATCACAACATACAAAGGCATACATTATTTCCTGTGTGGCATCAGGACTAAATACATGTTTGAAGTGTCGTGGAAAATCCACAGATCTCTCTTCCCAGTGCCATAGTGACGAGGCCAAGAGCTCTGTGACTGAATGGCAGCAGGGGATGATTTGCCAGCTACAAGCGAGAGGTTCCAAATCGTTGGAACTCTTATTATATGCTCCGGCAGTTCCTAGAACAACAGAAAGCTGCACAACTCCATGAACCAGTAAGTACAAAATACACCACACAGGTATTTCAACTTCGTTGTACCCAGTGGAATCTGATAGCCAATTTAGTTCCCAGGTCCCACTTGTCTACCTGAGGGTCATCCAGGAAGATGCTGTCGGTGAAGAGCACTGCCAATTACACACCCATCTCTCGCGTCAGAACATGTGTAAGCCGTGAATGCAGAGGACCTGGCTGCAGCAATGCGGACAAAATGCAGGCATATTTCTAAGGGCATCTCCTGACAGCACAGTAAAAGGGCCCAACCCAGTGCAGACCTTCTGCAGAGATGACTGGCCAAGTCTGGGATTAGAAGCCCAAATGAGTTGGAAACACATGTGTTCCCTTCCTCTGCTCTGCTTTGCTCATTATGCTGTAGTAAGATTACTATCACTCACAGGCTCAGATGGAGAGCAAGGCGTTCCGATCTCAAGAGAAAGCTGGAGGGGATGGTAGAGCCAGAATGGCATTTTATAGATTGATAGTTATCTAGGTCACTGTGGGCCAAGGTGGGCTTAATGCCCTGTGGGAGGAGGAAGTCCCGCCCCCCCAGCTGCACTGGGCATGCTCCAAGGGCTGGGGTAGTATAAAAGGGAGCAGCTCTGCTCAATCAGGGCTGGATGCTGAAGAGGAAGGACCTGCTAGTGGAGAGCCAGAGGTGGATGAGCCAATCTCTAGACTAGACCCAAGAGACTGTATCAAGCCTCCAGAGCTGGTGGAGCTGCAGGAGGAGACTGGAGGAGCCCGAGGACCCAGAAACTACATGGATCACCCCAAGGCCAGAGCTGGTAGGAAGTGACCCAGGAAGGGTGTGTGAGCAGTATCTCCCATCTGAATGAGCTAGTATGTTGCAGTGGGTTTCCCTGCTGAGCGAATGGTGGATCACTTCCTCACTGACAGGGCCCTAGGTTGGGATCTGGTGGAGAAGGGTAGGCCTGGATCCCCCCTTCCAGGGCTGCTGCTCCAACCCCTGAGACTCTAACTGTTAGGCTGTGCTGCCCTGAACCCTAAGATGGTGTTATTGACTCTAGCCATTAGGCTATGCTGCCCTGAACCATATGGTGGTGTTATTGACTCTAGCCATTCGGCTGTGCTGCCCTGAACCTTAGGACTGTGTTACAGACTGCGCTGCCTTCGGACAGGGAGTATTATGATGTGACAGTCACACAAGATAATGTTGTTACTACTTGTATTGCAGTGGTGAGGATCCAGGCCCTGTATCAACAAGTGACATAAACACAGGCTTTGCTCCCAGAGAGGTCATGATCTAGGACTTAGCACCCCGTGTGTGAGAAGGGCTCACCTGTGAGGAGATGTGACTGTTTTAAGGGGGCTTGTGGAGTTAAATTCATATCTCATGTAACCCTGCCCATGCCGCACAGTTCAGCAAAACGTGGGAGGAATTTGCTCCATTTTGTTTGTTTGTTTCGTGAACACATGCCTATTTCAGGAGAAACAGGCAATTCCCAACTTGCTCCCCTCCCTGAAACTGATATTCTTTCATTGGGTCCAGGACCAGAAGGGAACTGGAAATCAGCTAATCTGTCTTCCTATATAACAGTAGGCCTTCATTTTTCACTCATATCCTTTCATATGAAGCCCCAAAACCTTAGTTAGAGTCAAGAATTTTAGTTCTCAGACTGAACCGTGTGACATACGCAACCAGGGAGACTGTGGTGCCATCAAAGACTCTTTAATTCACCAAGATCTGTTTGCTGGCCTTGCTAATCCCCGTGCTGCCTCAGTTGGGGGAAATGGGGGGGCACAGCAAGGCTGGGGAGAAGCAGGGACAGGCAGAGAGAGGGTGGAACGGGGCAGGTAAAGGAGGGGTATGGGAAGAGGGGGTTGTCCCTCTCCTCCCCTGGTCTGGGGGGGAATCACATGGGAGGGAACCTCTCCCAGGTTCCCCCGACCCATCCCCAGTGAATCTCCCATAATCTTCAGTACAATGAACAGATGTGACCTATATCATGCCTTTTGACCTTGTGTATCTCTACATGCCATAAAACCCCCCAAACACACAGAACCAGATGGCCCAAATGTTTAGTGAGGGAATCAATCCAGCACTTTTCATTAAACATGAAGAGGAAAGAAGTGTTTTAATGTTTCTTTTATTCTCTTTTTCTTCTCCATTCTCTTAGAACATTTGATGACACATTGAAGCTGACCTAGTAATTCCTGCTTAGAAACCATAATGTCAGTTGGAGCTAAAACATATGGTATAGATAAAAGTTATGGATTTAATGCAGAAAATATTGGGAGAGGTTCTTCAACCTCTGTTATGCAGGGGGTCAAACACTGGATAATCATAATGGTCCCTTCTGGCCTTGAATCTATTATCTGGTCACAGGAAAAAAAAGTGTTAACTCCTACAAACATTATTTTATTTTATAAAATTCAGAGCGATGTATGTATTATTCTTCATAATAATTTCTTCAGATTTATAAACACATTATTCTGTTGATCCTGGATTGTGACTGCAAAGCTAAATGTAAGATATTTTAGTAGATCATTTATGCTGAAAATTAAAGATATACCAAAATGGGGAGACATTTTTAAAGTTCCACTCTCAGTCTCTGAAAATTAAATTTTAGCTAATGTGACTACACTAATTTTTATGTAATCCCCAGGAATGTATGATTTGCAATAGGTTCCACAAAACATGGGCTACAGCTACATAAATATTCACATGCCCAAAATAAGCCGAGAGAGCCAGTAAGCCATCTGTGAACACCCCTTAATTTTTTTCCTCTCTGCTGACAATAGACATAAATAATAACCATGTTGCACAGAAATCATTCTAACAGCTGAGAGTCAAATAAATATATTAAACTTGACAGCTTAACTACAAGGGGCCATTTGTACATAGTGCCCAGCTGCTTCAGTCAGCGTGAATGTATATGGACTTACACTAGAGGGAGCTGTTAGCTAGATTAGCACTTTCACTGAAAATATTTTTCTACTCTTAGCACCATCCTGTTTATAAATGGAAGTTTTAGCAACCCTATAAATAATCCTAAGAGGCATTTAAATTAAAAAAAGCCTGCCCATGGCCGGTGGGCCAGTGCCCATCCCCCCACTTGCTCTCTGCCAGGGACAGTGGGGGGGGGGGGTCTGACCACACACCCTACCCCCGTACGCAGGGCGCCAAGGTGGGGAAGCTGACGCTGAAGACCACGGAGATGGAAACGATCTACGACCTGGGCAGCAAGATGATCGAGTCGCTGACCAAGGAGAAAGTGCAGGCGGGGTGAGTGGGGGGCTGACGGGTAGGGAGGGGGCCCTGTGGGAGTTGTGGCTCCACTGGAGGTGTCCATACAATGGCCCAGTGTTCTCACGGGCCTGGGCTGTGACCACCCCTCCCCCCCAAAGCTGACCACACCTCTCCCTGCAGGGACGTCATCACCATTGACAAAGCCACCGGCAAGATCAGCAAGCTGGGGCGCTCCTTCACCCGGGCGCGCGACTATGACGC